TTGTGTCAGAATTTTCATTTTTGGGTGAACAATCCCTTTAAATCCAAAGTCTAAAGACTTTAGCATCAATAGAAACAATTTATAGCGATGCTAAGTATATATGGTTGCTTTGTTGGTTTGAATTGCATACGCAGTATTATAAAAGTTTCTCACAAATATTGGTTTAAAAAAATAATGAATGATTTCTTTGTGTTCATGCTGATGTTTGTGAATGCAACACACCAACATTAAGGAAACCGTAAGTAAAATTTACAGGGGGTAGTGCTGAAGTTTGTTTTGCCCACTTCAATCACCACGGTATGTGGACAGGACAGCACGTGAAAATCAGCATAGTGCTTCTGTCCCGTTTGAGGTCAACACTCAAATCCATTATTCAAACAGGCGCTAATTATGCAGTAAATGGTGTGGAAAGATGCAATAGGCAGTCTGAGCAGCACAAAGGGAGGGGGACAAAATGTGGAAAAACTTGCATAAATAGCTGCTTTTCCTGTATAATTTGGTTTCCATGAGAATGGTAAGTTTAAATACACCGTCACGGTTGCAGAAGTAGGCTATGCTTTGGAGGCGTAAATTAATTCTTTCTCTAAATTGTCTGAAGCAGTATAATCAAAAATAAGTTTTAAGCAATATATGTCCAAAAATAATTGGAGGAAACTTGCTAGAGCGAATCAAGAAAACAGCGATGAAAACACTGATTAGTTGTCAGTGAGGGCGTTAAAACTCCAAGAAGTTTGTAAGAATGTTCATAAGTACACATTTAAAAAAAAAAAAAAAAAACTCTTAATTTCTCAAATATTTTCTTAAGAAAATCTGTTTTTTTCTTTACAAAAAAGATGACAGGCTTTGCAAGGGCTGGATTCAAAAAAAGCAGTTAAAGCTGCAGTCCATACATTTTTTGGGTTAAAAATGATCCAAAATCAATATTTGAGCAAGTACATAACCAGCCAGTGCTCAAAACTATCACCTTACTTTAGCCCGATTCACAACGGTTAGCTTATAATAATGTTTTCTAGTTTGAGTGGTACGGGTATGTTTTCGCGGGAAATTCGAGCATGGCACTGCGTCATTACGTCACTTCTGTAAACATAAAGAAGTTGTCCCGGCTACTATCGCAAGTGAGGATCCTGCAGGTGGCAGATCGTTTATAGCCTTTTCTCACAGCAGCCAGAATAATTAAATGTATCATATTTGGGTCATATTCCAAGACATAGGCTAGAATCTGTGATTGCGAAGTACAGTAAATATCCACACACCGGTGCGGTGACTGATTGCCACATACTCTTCAGAACATTAGATTCATCCGTGCTGGGGCCGTGCCGACTCACAAACTAAGCAAGCTAGATAATTCGGCACACAGCTGCAATTCCAGGTTTTCAAACAGAGATGGCGACAAAGAGGCAAAACTTACGGACTGCAGCTTTAATATTTCCTCAGTTGGTCAGAACAAACGTGGCAGACTTGTTACTTACTTGTTCAGATGGCAATATATGGTGAAAATTCTTATTTGGGTCATATTCCAAGACATAGGCTAGAATCTGTGATTGCGAAGTACAGTAAATATCCACACACCGGTGCGGTGACTGATTGCCACATACTCTTCAGAACATTAGATTCATCCGCGCTGGAGCACAACCCACGCAAATAGATAATTCCGCACACAGCTGCAATTCCAGGTTTTCAAACAGAGATGGCGACAAAGAGGCAAAACTTACGGACTGCAGCTTTAATAAGAATTTTATTCCTAAGAATGTTTTGTGAAACTGGCTCCAGGGATATATTAACCCTTTTTATTATTCTTATTAAATAAAATCCAAAATATACGTTACTGTTTCATACATAAAACAGTAGAGCAAGGTGCTAGCAACACCAAGGTCATGGGTTCAAATCTTAGAGAATGCATGAACTAATACAATGCACTGCACTGAACTGCACTGTGATTTGCGTTGGCTAAATGGTATAAATGACCAGACAAATCAAAATAATGTCCGGGGGACGTTCGCAGAGGCCATTTAGGGGACGTCCTGGGGACCTTTTTTTGTTAGCTGGGTAGGCTACTCTAGGAAACATAACAGGTAGCTAATAAGTGATTACAGTGCACACTATCTGGTTTCCTGCGTTAGTTGGATTTCTGTGAATCACCTCAGAGGCTAACAGATACCGCCCCCCCTCCCCAATTAATGTGTTTTCAAAAAACGACGATTCTCCTTCGACACTAGCATTTTTCGAGATAACTGGCTGATTTGGGGAACGGAACGAACGAAACTCTATTGATGTATAAAGGCATTTGTGTGTATCACGCCCCGCAGGGACCTCAGAGAAGTTCCCCAGGTTTTTTGATTGGTGAAATTTAACGACGAGTATCTCGTGTTTTTCCGTGTATGTTTGGCCAATCCCGTAGGTGCTCGAGCTCCCTAAATGAACGTGTTTTGTCCAAGTGAAACATTAATAGATCACTAAATCAGCCTAATTTACTCCAGTTAAAGTAATTTCAATGGTTAGATCAAGTAGCAATAGTGCATGTATCCACTTTTTACAGTGTAACAAAACAGTTAATATTTTGCTTAATTCAGCAACGACGTTTTAGTTCCACACAACTAAATTAAAATTAAAATTAGCTATGAATATTTCAACCAGGCGTAGTTTTAGAACGTTTAATTTCTTTATTTGGGTAAATAATCTTTTTGTCTTTTCTTCTAAATTTGGGTGATAGGCTATTTCTCTTTATTGAATTATCATTTTACTCTCTAGAGCTCAAAACTGATGCTCCATCCATCAAATTCACCACTCGGTTGTCTCAAGCGCACTACTGTTTGCTGTATTTCACTATAGCTGTAGATCTACTTACTGGTTGATACACTACTGGACACAGCTCAGCATGTAATACCATCAGCAGAATGCCTAACAACGCGGTTCCCAGTGCCCACGAGCAGAGGCGCTTCTTGTCCTCCAAAAGGAACTTTCTGTCACGCAGTCTGTAAAGATTTCCCCCCTCGATCGGACTGAGTCTCTTCCCCGTGTGAGACAGCGGAACTCTTATCTCCGTCGTTTCCCCGTTGTGGCTGACAAGACCATCACAGTTTCTGCCATCCACCTTGTTGTCCAAGTGCGCAAGGCGAGCGGTCATCTCCATAGCGCGCTCTTGTCTTCAGCCCATACAGACATCAGTTGTCTTGTTCTCCATCCTGTCCTTCCCCCTCTCCAACCAAAATTTCGGAAGGCATAGCACGCTGAAGTCAAAAAGAAGCTATTTCAAAGCACAGAGTGAAACCGAAGTGCGCACTCCTCTGCGAACGTCCACTTACAGTGATACGTGCCTCAGCATTTGACTCGGGTCTGTGGGTAGGCGCTTTGAAACTGTTCACTCTGAAGTAGCGCTCTTACGTATGCTGTGGATGGACTACATCAGCTTCTTTAGAAGTGGTGTCGCCTCATATGATGATTGTGGCATACATTTTTTCTTCGTTTGTTGTCGTTAGCTAATGTTTCTTTCAGGAAACTATCGTTCAAACTTTTGGACTTTTGGCAATGTGTTCTAAAAGAGTTACATTTCAAGATCAGTGGAAATGCAAAACTTATATGGCAGAGTGAAGCTCCAAACATTTAACGATACAAGTGTTAGAATTAAGTGTTTAATAGCTCATATTTGCGCTCTCAGCACGTTTGAGCAACAAAATACAGTCAATATAGACACAGATTTGTCTAGAGGGGTAGGCTACCTCTAGTGGGAGACTCGTTTAGTGCAAGACTAACGGTTTAGTTAATTGTGTATAGGCCTACTGTAGGTCCAGTGCTTCAATTACGGTAGACTTCATAAAAATGCTTTTACATGTATTTTCGGGGAACAATCTCTTTGTACACAAAACATATTTCTTTTAGGTAAGTGATAAATATACTGACGGCATTATGTTAGTGCACCGTCCAATGGATTGCAACGATATTATTGTGCTATAGTTACCTCTACTAGCTTATGTTTAGCAACTAGTTGCATTTTTTGAGGTTAGCCTATTGAAAGATTTCAAAACACCAGTTAAAATATATACTAAAAGGAATATATATTTTAAGACTCAAAGCCTTTCTTCTTAAGCCTTAAAAACCGGGTCAGACCATATACTTTGCTTTCAGGTGGACCTCGACCAACTACTGCACTGCCCACCGCAGTTGATATAGGCCTATACTTGTTTGTTAGTTTAACAGTGACAGCTAATTTAAACCATTTGATCACGAGATTCCTATATAGACCATTCAGAAAATGAAATATCAAACTGTCACTTCCATAATGAACTCTAGAGGGACAGGAACTCAGAAACTAAACATGAGTGGCCACAAGGTTTGTTGCTCTCTCCTCTTCGTTTACAATCCACCTCCTTCAAACCCAATGAACTGAAGCAGATTCTATTTCTATGTGCAAATCCTTGCTTTTCTTCCTCTAGGAATGACGTAATGACCTTGGGCCATGTGACGCACTAGCCCCATGTGGATCCTTCCAACAGGGCATCCTGTAGCACAGAACCTACAGTAACCATCCCAATAAGTGTTCAGTCCAACTCAATCTAGGAGCCCATGAAGAGTAGTACATTAGAATGTTTCCATCATATATTTGGCTTGATTTCAGAGGTTAGAAGGTGTTTAAAAAGCTTACAGAGATCCTATAACCTTTAGCCTTCAGAGTAGGCCTTCTTGAGACTCCCCAAACTCCTAATTCTCCAATCAGGCCATAAAGAGTATGAAAAGATTCAACAAAAGGTTTAAAAGTCTGAGTTTGTTCATTTTCAGTCTATGAAGAATACTGTGAATTGCATAATTCAGGAATAGATTATCTGCAGAATCAGCCAAATCGATACATTTCAGGAACATTTTTATATTTTACCATAATCAAAGAAAAAAATAAAACTGTTACTGTTTTAGTAATAAAATATATATTTGTAACATCTGTTGGACATAGTTCATTACTTTTTTGCTAAAGCAGAAGCAATATTTACAGTGATTGCATAACAGCAAAACATAATTTTAAAGATTACAGGGAAAGAAAGCACAAATAAATATGCATTTGAAGACTGAGAAAAAGGGCAACATTTTGTAAACATAGCATAGGTTATAAGTTTAACATACAAAACTGCACACAATTTATTTATATATTAATAATAATGATATAGCAAAGGTAAAATCTAAAAAGGATTATAAAATAATTCCTGCTGGTACACATGACAGCAATTGTGAGATGACACTACACGTTTACATGCAGTTTTTACAAAACAAATACTACAAGAAGAAAATCTGTTATGTACAATCAAAATATCAAGATAATGAAATGTGGAAATATGGCTTGTAATGAAATTATGGCTTGAGGCAATGTATACTACCACCTAGTGGTATTGGAAAAAATGACAGTACAATTATCGTCATTTAAACAAATTTAAATAATAACATTGTGCCCAGAATCTAGTACAACTAAATAAATAATGTTTTTGTTAATGCAGTCCTCTCTGCATCTTGAGCAGATATGATTATTCTTAAAGGTGAATTCCCATTAGTCAGGAACTTTATATGCAGCTACTAATTTGAAACCTCACCCACACAGCACTCTTTGGCTTCAGTATATGAGATTATTTTTAATAGAAAAGGTATAGGATGCTTGTTGTTTTAGAGGTAACTTCATAAACTATTACACCTGAGCTGAACTGCTGGTAATATTTGGGAATGTGCGTCCATTGAGTATTTCAGTGAATAATTACATTCACTCAAAACAATTCTCCTCCATTAAATTTCACTCAAGTGTTCTATGCATAAAAAGTTACCAAAACATTAAAACACTCACTACAGAAGCTACTGGAAAAGTTGTGATTTCCATATCTATGACTAAAAAAATTCAAGTATGCAGTAATCCAACTTTGGCAAAGTTGAGAAATAATTTCTGTAGAGTTTGTGATCAAGTAATAACAGAGCCAGTGTTTTGTGCAAGAGAAGTTTAAACATATTGATTGACTATTTTAGCGCATAAAAACCTAAAGCTAAAAACCCAAAGAAAAAATAAATAATGGCAGGACAGGTAAAATGAAAAGCTTAAAGTTCATTTGAATTTATAAGCCCCAAATCAGTGAAAAGTTAAATAGTTGACATGCTTGACACTATATTTCAAGTTTATGATTTAATTAAAATAAGCTATAAAGTTCCCTGCAGATTGGCAGATACGTCTTACACTATAGATACACTGGTTTTGTTTACCCTTTCACTGTCCCCCAGGTTTGGAGGGTAGCGTGAGGCACAATGAACTGAGGAGGGGCTTTGGGTACGACGTAGTAAGCAAACAACGGAGAAGGTGCCGGTGCGCATACAGTCGTGAAGAACATGCCTCTCTTCTTGTACTGGGGCCACATCGGTGCAGGGTTATAAAAGAACTGCGGGCCAGGGATCTGTTAATGACAGAAAATGTTTTACAATGTTAGTTTAATTACTTTTTTAATTGCAGAAGTTGCCCTTTTTTCAAATTTTTTTTACTGAGTGAACTTTAAAGGGACAGTACACCTTCAGTTGCTGGTCCATAGTATGGAAAAAAAAACACTATGCAAGTCAGTGGGGACCAGCAACTGAAGTTGAACTATCCCTTTAAGCACCACATAATGGTATTTACCTGAGCTGGAGTAAACTTGCGTGGCCCTTTAGGCTCCCTTGCTTTAGATCTTATTGTATGAACAGTATCCTTCACTGTTCTCTCCTCTACTTTTTTCGTTTGGTTCTCTTTCACCTCCTCTTCTGTATCACTTGAGACTGCTGAGCCGCAGTCAGATGAGGTTGCTGAGTGGTAGTCGGATGTATCCAGATTCACAGAATCCACTTGGCTAAAAGTATCATCCTGATTCAAGTCCCTTTTCTCATCCTCCACTTTAGCAAACTGAGCTACTATAAAATATCTGCCATTCTCCCCAGACCTGTGGGAACATATGAATGTGAACCATTACTTTTAGTGATAAGTTCTCACTTCACAGAACATGTCAAGCATAATCATTCATAAAAAGGCCAAAAGGAAGTCTTTTTTAATTTATCAAATAACAAGCCATTCACAGAAATATTCTAGAACTTACCGCACACACACCTCCGATGGATCGATCCAGATTGTGATCTCACGAGGAAAGCCTAACTCACTTGACTTTAAGCCGCTCTTCATGCACGCTTGTGATACTGATTCATCGCAGGGAATTCTGTCATTTATTCTGATGCATCTGAGTAGGGAATACAAAATGGTCATATTGTGAATGACTGCAATGGACGTTTGTAGGTCTTTTATATATTACCTCATGTAGAGTATGAATTTCCACTTATACAACAAATTAAACTGTCAGATTTTTAAAAGAAATGAATGTTTTATTCAGCAAGGATGCATTAAATTGATCAAAAGTAAAGACATTTACAATGTTACAAAAGATTTCCATTAACAAAATGCTGTTCTTTTGAACTTTCTAATAATCAAAGAATCCTTGAAAAATGAATCACACTTTCAATTAGAAAATATTAAGAAGTACAACTGTTTGATAATAAAAAGATGTGTTTCTTGATCTCCTAATCAGCAAATTAGAATGATTTCTGAAGGATCATGTGACGCTGAAGACTGGAGTAATGAATGCAGAAAATGCAGCTGTGCCATCACAGATAATCATATTCGATTTGGAAACAGTTACTTTAAATTGTAATAATATTTTGCAATATTTCTATTTTACTGTATTTTTGTATTTAAAAAAAAATGCAACCTTGACCCTAATATTTTAAACAGTAGTGTATATTTACTGAGAAAATGTTGAGAAAACTTATTTTTTTAAATATATTTATTTAATATTGCGTTGATCAGTGCATTACACATCATAATTCAAAACAAAACACTTTTAATATATAACTTATAACTAGAATATATAACTTTCCTATAAAAAAGTATAATAAGTTATACTAAATCAGTAAATCCTCTTCATTTACCTGTACGCCTGTCCTTTGCAAGGATTGTCTGGGTACCAGTGGTCTGTGAACTTTTTAAGCAGAAGCTCTTGTAATTTAGCAGTGAAAAGTTTGGCTTTAATTTGATCCACACCTCCACGCTCCACTGCCAAACCTTTCAGAAAGTTTACTCCAGCACTCACTTCCTTCTTCATTCTCACCACTGTAAAGAAAAACAAAACTGACATTTTAATCTGGGGCTTTATTACAATCAAAAACCACAAAGTTAGGAAATAACTCTGATTGACCTCCTTTGTTTAAGTCAAACGTTTTAGCATTCTTATTTTGAATACTACAATCAGTGTACATTTTAAAAGTAGGTGAATTAATAAACACACAAAAGAACTACAAATATAAAGGTCGGAAAAATATAAAAATATATATATATTTCCAGGCTTGAAAAAAAGTGTGTTCTTCTAGGCTTCTTTTACATTCAAATAAACAATAAAAAGAATACCTATTAGTTTCTAGTCACCTGCCAAATAATATTAACACATATCAAATAAAATACAAATAAAAAATCTCATGCGTAACCACCTGAAACACCTACGCTTTTGTAGGTCATCTCTATTGGCATCTGTGATAGAGGAACTTCCCTGAGCACTGTTTTCTCTTTCCTCTGACACCTGTTGAAGCTGTGTCAGCTGTTACTGAACTCCACATGTGAAGATTTGTTATACTGATAGAATGCCACAGCCATAATTTGCATTAGAGGCAAATAAGATACAAATAAGGAAAAAGAGTCACTCTTTTTCCAACAGCATATTGCTAAATAAGGTTTACAGTTGCAAATTTAGACACATAAAAGTGCAAATAAACATGCATCCTTCAGACTCACATTGGAGGTTGTATTATCAAATTAGTATTATCAGAGTGCTATATTGCTGAACAAGATACCTGACTTAGGCCACTCTTTAACTTTTTATGAATTGAAGGATTTTACTTCCAAGACATTTAAAGAATGATCATGACCTGAACTGATGTTTAATAAATGTTTTATTATACAATTAACAACAGTTACTGTTCAAATTAAACTTTGGTTTTAATCTTGTGAATCATGTTAGTCTACGTATGACAATTCGTAAGTCTTTGTTAATTCCAAGAAAGAAAAAAAACCCAGGTTAACCTATAAAATGTATATTACACTAATTAAACCAAATAAACAAGTATCTGCCACTCCAAACATGCAATTGAGGTTGTTGCATCAGGCAACCTTTGAGCAACTTGCTGTGAATGTACTCAAGCATTAGTCAGAGTGCTGATTTGAGTGACACAATAATAACTCATTCAAAAGTAAATTTCTTTAACAATGCACAAAGGGCTCAAATAGAGCTGAGATCAAATCTATTTTCCACCTACATGTCAAACCTTTGAGCTACTTGTGACAGAATCTGCAAACTAAGTAAAAGAGAATGTCATGAGCATGGGTTTAGATGGACTGCAAACAGCCACTGACTCGTGTATAAAGTGAGCAGCAGGTCAACAGATGCTGAAAGTTTTGCCTAGACTAATTGTATAATTAATGGTAGACACATCACACAAACATCATACTGTATGATATGTATTACAATTTATTTTGAAGAGGAGAGGTTGTATTTGAAGTATGTATGATAAAAGGAGAGATCATTGGCATATTCTATAAATGGACTCTGAACGGATGTCACTCCATTCTATATATGTCTATATAGCATGAATCACACGTTATAAACTCAGTGTGGACCATTTTAGGCAAAAAGCAATTATATCTGTCTGTCTATGTATTTTCCAAAGCGCTTGTCGTATGTAGGGTCGTGGGATAATGCTTACAATAATCAAATATTCTATTCTATTATTATAGTCTACTGATAGGTCTATTAAAAAACCTGAGCAAAATTACTGTACAACGGAGTGAAAAGTGCAACGCACTCAAGAACGCTATTCAGTTCAGTCACGTGCTACACGCGCACCACATGCAATACTGAAGATTTTCAAGCAAGCGGTTGGGAGTGAGTGCATCATCGGAAATTCCCAATAAGAAACCCCGAAATCATATGTATGTACTGTATATATAGGCCTATGTATTATAGATATATATTTACTAAACATTGCAGAGTGATAAAACTAATATGGTGTCTCCAAAAGTAATAATGTATTTTTTCAGACTTTTTTTTTTTTATAAATCTTAATATAATGGTAATAACGGTGTTATCCAATTACAGTAACAAGTATGATCGTGATACTCGGACTTTAACATTTTACATACATCACATTTATGTTTTGACACTTTTAACAACCTAATTCCTATAACTTCCAGAGAACACATGAGAAAGAAGAACTTTAACTGTTATTGTCTATAATGTATAGTTCTTAAGGTAATTTCTTACCGATATACGCTGATTCCAAAACGACTGGATGTTTTTCGTTCTCTTCAGTTATATTTCCTCAAAACTGTTATCCAAACAGACCAGTGTTTCCCAACCTTTTTTTAGTCGCGGCACCCTTTGGAAATTTTAACAAACTTGTGGCACCCTACAAAATTAATTTTGTCACAATATTTGAATTTCTAACTTCGATATGATAATTTGAAAAGTGTAGATATTCGGTACAACAGGGAAGAACTGCAGAATATAATGTCATACAGATATTTTTAATATTATTTTAAAAAATTGTCCATCAATGGTGGCAATCAGTAGGCTAATTTCTAATGAAGAGACCAATGTATATGACAGATTTTAATGTAGGCTTTTATACATATGTAAACATTATTTAATTACCATTATAACTATCTCACAAAGTCTTTCTCAGTTTTTTTTTTTATTTTACAGTGGGGTAATTTTGGTGCAGTAGCACGAGATAGCTTGATTTCAAACTTTGAATTGAATAAAAAAATGACAAGTAAGCTGTCAGTAATAAAATAAGAAATAAAGAAATTAATAATTATAGCACAAATAAAAAATAACGACAGCCCTTCAAATTAAATAAATTGCACAGTAGGGTTAAGATATTTCACTTTTTTTTTTTACGAATTATCCAAATAATGTTTAGTCCTAGAAAGCTATTATTATCAGAGGACACACGAGCATAACGGTTAGCAGATCAATGAATGAGAGAGCAGCGTTACCAGAGTTGCCCATTTACCACACCTTGTTACAGCACAGTAACA